TATATATATATATATATATATATATATATGAGTTCTATTTTCTTTACATATTAACAGGTTTCGCAAAGCCATGCCTTACAGAAATATATGATTTTGTGATCTCAATTAAGGATTGTGGTTATTCTTTATTGACTGCAATTGTTTTTGGCTAGCTATTATCAACTATAATACATCTATGCCTTTAGGTTGACCTGCATATGCATGCCCTCACCAAATCTACATATATGTGACATACATGTTACACATGTGTGCCACATATATGTGGCATATATGTGCAACGATTGAACTTATGTAACATATATGTCACATATATGTAGATTTGGTAAGGGTGCATTTGTGGTTCCCAGGTTCCACATATATGTTACATATATGTTACATATATATGTCACATATATGTGATATATATGCAACATGAGTGCCAAATTCCTACATATGCCACATTTATGTTACACATATGTGGCATATATTTGACATATATGCCACATATATGTGACATATATGCCACATATATGTGGCATACATATGTAACATATATATGTCACATATATGTAGATTTGGTAAGGGGCATTAATTAAGTTAGCCGTCTAAATCAATTCAAATAGAAAAACCAATTGTGCTTTGATGATTATTAGTTCTAATGAGTTTATTGTACTGTGTCAATTTTGAACCCAATGACTATACTGTTATAATGTTGATGTGTAGTTGATACACATGCCAATAGGTTAAAGAGGGCTTTAGGAAGTAAACTGTGTTAATGCTGAAATATAAAAAGATAATAATAAAGAAAAACAGCTAGTATCCATAAATTTAATAGTCAATCCCTAAGTTGTGGGACTGAGGTGCTACTGGTAATTTTTATGTATCTGCCTGTGAAAAGTCCATTTATGGTCCCCTTTGTGTGCTCCATTACGTTAATTAACAACTATTCACCAAAGTGGAGGTGAATAGTTGTTTTAGTATATACAAAACAGTGAGATAATATACACTGCTTCGTCGTTAATTTGAGTGATTTCTTCGCTTGTCATGGATGCAAACTGGGACGCCATTTTTTCCTGAGTTGCTTGGAGGTAAATAGCAACGGATATTCAGAGTTTGACTAGCCAATCAGAGCGCGCCTTCAACGCTATCCACTGTTTTAGTATATACTAATTATTAATATCACCCTAAGGTGACATTGTTATGAATTAAACTCTTCAGTGTTTATCTTCATTACTCCTCTGCTGCTTATTAAGTTTCCTATCTTTATTATAACAAACCATCCTCACACAACTATAAAGTGATCTACAATATGGATTTTCCCAAATCCTACTAAACTCAAGCCATTAGAATTTTATGTTTATTAATTCTTCATTCAATTTCCACTCAAGGCAGTGCAAATTTCAGAAGAAAAGTTTAATGTCCTCGATCAAGCACACTAAACTAATTTTGCATCTAATTGATAAACCCAGGAATAATTTTTGTTGTACCACAATTGACAGAAGTGTAATGTTGCAATCTGATTGGTTAATTTGCCATTGTTGACAGAAGTAAAGATGATGCTACTTGTATCAATGTATCATGCAACATGTCAGGCACTGAAAGAATAATTTTATTTGACAATGATATTGTGGTAAAAAACAAATGGACAGTGGTTTTGTGTGGTCTGTATTCTTATCAACAACAATTTCTCATCACAGTAGTCAAAATTTGTTATAGATATACTTGGCTGCACCTCATGAGTCCACACCATTTTGACCACTGTGATGATGAAAGAATAATTTTATTTGACAACGATATTGTGGTAAAAAACAAATCACTGGACAGAAAGAAAATACAGCCAATAGAGGGTGACTATAAGAAATTGACTGTCAGTGAAGGAGAATCTTCAGAATACTATAGAGCCTTATGGGGGATCAGGTAAATTTTATCATGACATAGCCAAACATCCTTACCCACCAGGCGACAAATGATGACAAGTCCTTAATTAGTGTGCACAGTCATCCAATCAGGGAGCGCTAGTCAGCATTTTTAACCAGAGACAGTTTAACGAGTCGCAAAGTGACTTGGAAACTACGCCTCTATAGTACTAAGTTCGTCTAGTGCTCCTTTGGAAAGCCTCATTGCACAACCAATAAACGGATTATATGTTGTAGAGATGCTTTCCACTGGTATGCTTGTTGTCTGGATCCATTTGTCCTCAGCAGTGTCAAAGTATTCAACACTTAGTTCAATTTTCTTGCTAGTTCTTATCCCACCCAGTACGTACAGCTTTCCATTCAGCTGTACCATACTACCAAAGTAACGAGGAATGTTTAGGCTTTGAAAAAGTTGCCATTCATTTGTTGATATATTATACATCTCGCAAGTATTTGAGCTTTTTCCACTGCACACCCCTCCAGCAACGAAAATTTTTTCCTGAGTGGCCACCCCAAAAGCACCACCTCTTTCTACCCGCATGGTTGCAATCTCCTCCCATGTCTTCTCTACAGTGTCGAATCTCTCACCATTTGCGAAAAATTCCTGTGTATTTTTCCACCCTCCAATCACATACAGGTGTCTACCAGCTGCAACAACACAAATATTCTCTCTACAATCTTGATCAAATGAGACATCAACTGCCTCCCATCTACACATCTCTACAATGTACTTTACGACGGTAGTTTTTCCGTCAGTAGTGTTTACTTGAACAGCGTAAATTTCCCCTTTCACAATAGCTACGTTAGAGGACTCCGCGTGCGATTTTAAGACTGACCAATCGTTAAAAACTGGATCGTATCTCTCGGCACCTTTACATTTTGTGAAGGTAAACAACTGATCACGGAATTTTATCATCTTCGATGTACTGGCATTTAGCTCTTCCGCACCATCTGGTAAACGCTTCCACAAGTCTTCTTCAGGAATGTAACAAAAAGTGTACTTGCCACCCCTAACTACAATAACGCGTGAATCAAGTCCCTTTCTCGGTGACTGCGGGAGATGATCTTCATTAACAAAAGTAGCCACCTTAAGAGTAGCATCTATAGTTAGCCTTAAACAAACAGCACTGTCACGAACAAGCTCGTTTGTCACGATACCCTGCAAACAGTCACGCGACAGAAAACCCAGTCGAAGGTGACTAAACAATTCTTCAAATGTTGCTTTTCGCTCGCTCTTTCTGTGGTTTACCCAGTCGAAAATGATCGTAAAAACATCAGCTTCCTCTTTGACTGTAATCTCATCGGACGAAATCCACCTTTCGATCTCTTTGGCCTCCAGGTGCAAGAATTCATCCAGTTTTGCCACGGAAACAATGTTTTCGTGAATAAAACGCCTGCTGCTGGTGATAAGCTCGTCACAATCGTATTTCTCAGCGAGGTAAAAGGTTGAAATACAGTTGATGTGAGACATTTCTTCTTCCAAAAACTTCCCTGAAAGCGTTTTCAAGCTCGGTATGATCAGATAATTCCCAGCGGCGATCAGTTCCTCAGCATTCTCCTGAGTTACCTCCACAGTTCCTGTGTATAAGAATTCCAAAACATCTCCCATAACAGATCCTGAAATCTCTTCAAATCGAACAATCCCCTCTCGATTTTCTTTCATGTCGCTCTGAAGAAGTTTGGAAAAGTACGGACTTGCGGCGGAAAGGACATTTCTGTGAGCCTTTAACTCGCTGCCATCTTTAGAAACCAAAGTGATGTCGCACAAATAATCTTGTTTTCGCTGAATATTGAGGCGCTTCAACAATTCTACACAGAACGACACCTGTTCGGCAGCTGAGATGGGCTGTATATCTTCCATCGTTTATAGAAAGTCCTGGTTTCCTAGCGCAGAATCCGCTTTAATTTTGCTGATAATGAGGAACACACGAGTAAGATATCGAAAGCGGAAGTATGGCTGCCTCCCAGTTTTCCACCCCAGCTCCCGAGTCCCCCGGGCCGGGAGAACTCTGGCGACGAGTAGATAAGGCAAAGATCAAAGAGGAGCTCGAGCTGCAAAGATGTGCTCAATGAATGATGGTCTCTAGCCAGTGATCAGAATATTGAGGGAAAGAAGTAAAGAGACTGGATAAGTTTGAAACAACATCCCGACGGCATATTTGTACAAAAGTTATAAAAAGATAAGAGTATATCATTTATTCAAAGGCAAGAAATTATAAACTGTGTATAATCTCCTGCTCAAGGATGCGTGGAATAAACTAAATGATAGCGAGGCGAGCATAAAGGAAATGGCAAAATATATCGACCTAGAACTAAACTCTGGCTGTGAAAAGGAACAAGTACTGACCCTTTGAAAGCACCTTTTCTGGCGTGGCGCTTACGTTGGGTATGAGAATGGCAAAAACAGAGATTCAACTAAGTTTTATTGCGATTTATTTGGTTTCCCCTAAGAAATAAACCTATCCGTAGAATAAGATCCGTTCAGGAAGCCCAAAATTTTTAAAAATTAAGGCATTTTCATTCAGAGGGTGCTATTTCCCCAGTCTTTTAGGTAAGTTTCATAGGGGAAGATTTGGAAAGAATCGAAAGTAATGCAATACTATTCCGTGACTAGCGGAAATAATGGGTGTAACTCCACCCATAAGCGCAAGAGCTGCTGGAATTGTTCATCCAAAAATTTTTCTTAGAGAAGTTTTATAGGGCTTAATTAAGATGGTGGCTAACCCCAAATTAGAGAAAACTGTTTTGGCATAATTTTTCAAGATATTTAATCGATTCCAGTGAAACTTGGTATAAATCAAAGACTTGGCAGAATTATAGGTTGGTCATGTTTTTGTTGAATTCGAAAGATTCATCTTTTATCTAACACTTGTGTAATAGAAGGTTGATAGTGTCTTCTTCAGGTTAGCAACCAATGATGAGGGTAGTGAGCTAAGCCTAGCAGTTTCACAGTGTGTTGTTGTCAATGTGGTATTAGTGACTAGATCCGGGACCTTCTAATTACGTCGACGAGAGCAAAATGCAACATGGTGGTTTTATACTGAATTTGTGTCCACTACTTTGAGTAACAAATACTACAGTCAATATAGCCTAATGTGCCTCTTGACAACTTTTCTGCAAATTAAGTGGCTTAGAGACTACTTTCCGATAACTTTAAGTTTGTCCAGCACTCCCTTGGAAAGCTTCAGTAAGCAGCCAGTAAATGTATCGTTATAACCTCTGGCAATCCTTTCCACTGGTATGATTGTCATGTGGATCCATTTGCCCTCCTCAGGATCAAAGCATTCACTCATCCGTTCGGCCTCGTTACGGTCATTCCTTCCACCCAACACGAACAATTTTTCGTTTGGACAAACCATACTTCCGCCCTTGCGAGAAACAATCAAGCTTCCGGTGAGGTACCATTCATTTGTTGAGATATCATACACCTCACAAGTTTGCAACGCTCACTGTCTCTCTCTACATGATGCGATCCACCAGCTACAAAGATTTTTTCATGCATGGCCACTGCAAAAGCATTGCCTCTTCTCATAGGTCAGCGATTTTCTCCCATTTATTTTATTAGTGTCCTTTCGTTTTGTCCATTGTCCACTAACTAATAAGTTGAACACTCGTGAGGAAAACTAAAAACTGTCTCCTTGAATTAAATCAAAGGATTATTGAAGCTAACTCATTCAATCAGGCACCATCCTCAGAAAACTCATCATCCTCAGACAACTCAAATTCAACAACAGGAGGCGTAGCAGGTACGACAAATGTAATGGAGCCTCTTCTGGGGATACTTCTGGGGAGTCTTAAGGTACAGCCGCTGCCCGTGTTGCTGCCGAAGACCTCTACATTGACGAAGTCAGGTTTCTTCACTACTCCCTTAGAGAGCTTTATTATACATCCCGTGAATGTGTTATTATTTCCTGATGGCCACCTTTCCACTGGTATGGATGTCTTCTCGATCCACTTGTCTTTTGTAGAGTCGTAACATTCAACTGACAGTAATCTATCTCTGTTATTCTTGGTTCCACCCAGTACGTAGAATGTACCATTCAGACACACCATGCTGCCATACACACGACAAGTGTTTAAGCTTCCAATGAAGTGCCATTCGTTTGTAGAAACATTGTACATCTCGCATCTTCTTGACACCCTATTCTTTTCGTTTAAGCCTCCAGCAACAAAAATCTTTCCTCCAGAAGCGTCTCCAAAGGCCCCACCTCTTCCTTGCTGCATGTCAGCGATTTCTTCCCATTGATTTTCCGCAATGTTGAATCTCTCAGCTTTAGTGACGTAACTAGCACTGCCAGGGGTCGATCCACCTAAAATATACAGATAGTTTCCACCCGCGGTAACACATGACCCGTTCCTACAGCCTTGGGGAGATTCCACGACTATTTGCCATGTACAAAGCTCCGCACTGTATCTCTTGATAGTAGACTTTCCGACGGGTTTGTTAACTTCAATGGCGTACATATCCCCTTTGACAACGGTCACGATGGCGTTATCTGCTGATACGTCCATCAGATCCGACTTTGACCAGGTATTAAACACAGGATCATACCTTTCTGCCTTGCTGAACTCGTTGAATGTGTACAGCTGATCACGAAATGTTAGCATTTGTGTTTTCTGGTTTCTCTCGGTTGACCCATCCGGCAGCCGTTTCCACTGGTTTTTTTCTGGGAGATAACAAAAAGTGTAATTGCCACCACATGCTAGGATAACACGTGTTTCCAGACCTTTTCTTGGTGACTGCGAAAGATCATCTTCACTCGCAAAAGTAGCCATCTTTATGGTAGCATCTAGGACAAGCTTCACACAGGCAAAATTCTCACACACTAGTTCGTTTGTCACGACATCCTCCAAACAGTCACGCGACAGAAAACTCAGTCTAACGTGACGAAACAATTCCTCAAATGCTGCTTTTCGCTCGCTCTTATTGTGTTCAACCCACTTCAGTATGATCTTGAAGACGCTGACTTCCGCTTCCACAGCAATCTCGTCACTTGAAATCCACCTCGCCACTTCCTTGCCCTCCAAGCACAGGAATTCATCCATTTCTCCTACGGAGGCGAAATTTTCGTGGACGAATTTCCTGCTTTTGCAAACAAGCTCGACACAGTCGTATTTCTCAGCGAAATAGAAGGTCGAGATGCAATTTGATTTGGACATTTCTCCTTCTAGAAATCGCCCCGAAATAGTTTTCAAGCTCGGTATGATCAGATAATTCCCTGCAGCGATTAGTTCCTTGGCATTCTCCTGAGTTACTTTCACAGTTCCAGTGTAGATGAATTCCAGAACATCTTTCATAATAGATCCTGAAATCTCGTCGAATCGAATAATCCCTTCTCGATTCTCTTTCATGTCGCTCTGTAGAAGCTTGCAAAAGAACGGACTTACGGCGGAAAGTACGTTTCTGTGAGCCTTAAACTCGCTGTTGTCTTTCGATACCAAAATAATGTCGCACAAATGATCTTGGTTTCGCTGAAGGTTGAGGCGCTTCAACATTTCCACACAGAACTTCGATTGTTCAGCGGCTAATATGGGTTGTAAATCTTCCATCTTTTGCAGAATGTCCGTATTCCTGTTGGCAGATTCTCCTCAAACGTTGATGATAATATGGATTACTCCGAAAAAATATCGAAAGCGGAAGTACAGCTGGTTCCCACTTTTCCACATGCCTAGCCTGCGAAGCAAGCCCTGGGGAGAGGAGAGGGGATTGGGGCGAGTGGAATGTGCGGAGGGGAGAGGGAGGGCTTGCCACGGACCCCCACTAACCAACGAAATTTCCGATCTCGTATGGACGAAAAATTCCCATTGGCTGAGAGCAACACGTTGTCAATCAACCCTCGAACAAAACAGTCTTCGTGGTGACTACCTTTTAGAAAATGGCGGACGACGGTGATTTCGAGAAGTTCTGCCCTCAAGAATCGATGTCGAAGTAGAACATTTGTGGCAGCCATCCACTGGTTCAAGCTCAGGGCCTTGATAAGAATGGCGTCTTCATTCTCAAACTTGCCCTTAACCACAACATTGCAAAGCCATTGCTCGTTGATCCAAATCATCAATGTTTAAATTTGTATCCATCGCTGAAGTTGAGGGTTGTCGTTTCGTCGGCGAGTCAAACAACGCTTCCCTGCTAGATGTAGGTTTTGCATGTGCCGGGAAGCGGACACACAAGCTCTTTCTACCTGGAATTTTTCCTGTC